TTTCCCTTCAGTGTTCCGTGCTTGCATATTATTAATTGTTTGATATCCCCTAATTCTTGAGTGAGGACTTAATCAACCCGCACTTGAAATTGAAGGGTATCACAGTTGGTATCAGAGCACTCCAGGTTCATGTGTTTCTACTTCTTGCTCACCTAAACTATGAACATCGCCACATAATTTTTTGTATAGCAAAGTGGCTATATCTAATGGATTTCTAGACAATTATACTCTTTCCTTCACGAAGGATATTCTAAACTTGTGGTGAAAGATAGCCACCATTATTTAGCTATACGAGTTAGAGTGGCTTCACACCATAACATGGCTTCTTTATTAGTCCATCATCTTCCTTCAGTTCCTATTACCAGGACGCATGCATCCATCCATTTAGATATGGCTTCAGTTCTGTCTTTTAGACATTCAATATTTAGGTATTCACCTGTTGAATTTATAGGTCTAGCACTTGCTTCTCTAGAAGTGTAAGTACTAGTATTCTTATCTTGTGGTCTGCCACTTGATAATTTTCCTACTAGAAGATCTCTTTGTGTCTCTGTTACAATATTTGTGGGGTTAAACTATTAGTTGCTTATTACTGCTAGTTGTTCTGGTAGACTTTCCCCAAATTAATCATGATTCATTGACTTTAGATTTTCTTGAGTTACTCCGCTAGTCCTTTCATCAGGAGTGAAGCTGACTCGAACATTTTCTGGATTCCATGTTTGAATTCTATGAATCAAATAATCTAATCTTTCTACATCTCGAATAGTTTCAAATTCTTCTTCTAAATTTTCTAGAGTTTCTTCTTCTTTTAGGGTTTTGAAGTTTTCTGTTAAAAACTCATTGCATATATATATACATTCCTGATCTATTTGGAATACTAAGGTCTTTTCCTTTTTTGAATTTTAGGATTATGTCACCATCTAGTGTTTCATAACTAGTTGATAGCTCTGAAAATTTATTTTGTTTCTCTTTTCCTGTAAGTTTCCATCTTTCAGGAAATTGAATTTCATTCTAATTTGAGATTTTAGGCTGGTACGTATGATTTCAAGCCTCAGTTTGGATGAGTGTGTTTTTTTTTTTTTTTTCCCTCCCGGATTGAGAGAGTAAACCTCTTGGAGCATTTGATTGCATTAATTTATAATACACTCGATACCAATTGTGAGATTAAATATACTTTTCTAAAATTTATTGCATGAGTTGATAAGGTGACTTTCAATGCTTCATGAGCATTTCTGATGTCAACTGTAAAGTTATGGATAGTATTAAAAAATACAATTTGCTTGTCAATGTCTGTTTGGATTGTTCATAACAGAGATTTCTCGAAACTCTCAATTCTATCATCTCTCAAGATGCAGAGTAGAGATCCTCCTTGGTTTTCCTTTCCTAAGAGTTTTATAGCTAATTGCACCGTGCCTATATGGACTAGTTGTATCCTTGGTTTTGATCTATAAGCATTTGATGTCTAGCAAGTAACCATAATATATGTTTCTTCATTTGGAACCGAATGTATCATTTCAACCTTTGTGAATCTAAATGTTGGTCTTTAGTCGAATCTTCCAAATTTATAAAGCTGTTTAAATTCAAATTCTGGAATTGGATATTCTTTTATTTCATTAGAAGTACTTTTCAGTTCTATTTCCTCCATATTTTTTATATCCATTCTTTCGGATACTGATTGTTGGGATTGACTAAAAACTAGTAGCATTTTTATTAGCTTGATTGTTATAGGGGGATTAGGTTTTCTAAAACCTCCTGCATCTTGGTACAAATATTCCTTTATTTGTTTTTATCTTTTTTTCTAAAGGATATTCCTCTACAATTTTCTCTTTTCCTGTTATTAAGGATTTAAAAGATCTTTCTAACTCCATTATAGTGCTATTAAGATTTTCCATTTGATGGTTAATCTTTTTTAAGGATGCACTATTTTCTATCATAGCTGCTACTAACCAATTGTTTTGGTTTATAACTAGCTGGGAATTTTCAACAGTCTTTTCTAAAGGTAACCTATAGCCCTTTGTGGCTAGGTTATCCTAAGATTATAATCTCTGGTCTACATGTTCTTGAAAATTATTCATAATATTTCGTCAATTTTTTGAATTAACGATTTGATTTCACTTTGGATATGAAAAATAGCCTTCGATAATTTTTCTGTTATTTCTTCGAAAGAACTGGGTTGATATGGATTAACCTCCAAAATTTTAACTATCCTTTCGATCTCTATTGTTTTAGTTCTAAGTTCACCAATTACTTGGTCACTTAGATTTTTGTCACTGTTTTCTAAAGTTTTAACAACTTCTGTTAGTTAAGTTTTAGTTGAATATCTTTCTTGATTTATTAAGATTTTATCCACTTTTTTTTTCTAGATTTGAAATCCTAGAATTATTTATTTCTTGACTTCTATAGTCAAATTTCTTGTTTAGATTTAAAATTTATCTTCTTAAATCTACTTTGTCTTCTAATCTAGCTCGATAAAATCTAGTTTTCTGAAAAACTCTTGAACTTCTCTTTTTACGGAGATTTGTTTTAATTTTGAATAATGATAGGGAGACCGAATAATTAACCCCGAATAAGCACCGAATCTGACGTGTTTTTGTCCACCTCATCTACTTGAACAGTTTTTAAAAAATAATTGTTTAACATGTGATAAGAATGGCCAACCACGTCAAATTCGATATTAATTCGGGATTTCTTTTTCGGTTCCCCTATCATTACTCTTTAATTTTTTGTTAACTTGATTGAGAATCCTGATTTGATTCTCTATTTTTGATTCCTGACATTAGTGGAGTTCATGCAAAAATTTATAAATTGGGTGGCCCAATTTTTTGTAAAATGGCTCTGATACCAAATAAAATAAAAACAAAACAAAAGATAAACTTTGGGGTCTAAATACTATTTTTCTTGAGTAATGGGGCCTTCTCACAAATGTTCGGATCTTTTCACAATTTTTTCTTGCAAAAGGGGTTCAATTACAAAGCCTACAATTATTGTTCATGTGTAGGTAAATAGACAGCATTGATATGTGGTATAGCCTTCTAAGGTCTCCCCCCCCCCCCCCCCAGGAAAAATGTGGTATAGCCTTCTAAGGTCGCGGGGGGGGGGGGGGGGGGGGGGGTAAGGCTCTGATTGTTTCGTAATTAAAATTAGAGAAAAATTACCTCAAACTTTTAAGTTAATTTTTTTTAATTTTAATTTGAAAACATTATAAGAAGATCAAAGTTTTCTTACTTTTCTTATGTGGGACATGTTTTTTAATTTTTTATGTATGTATATAGATGTGTACATAGGCCCGAGCCCAAGTAAACCGAAATAAACAAGGCCCAAAACAAGACCCCTTCAACATATAAGCATGTCCAAGAAACTGAAATAAACAAGGCCCAAAACAACAGTACATCAACACATCACGGTAACAATTGTGTTAAAAAATATACGTTGATAACGGAGATTAAGAGGCAGTAAGGCAATCAGTAAAGGTTCACTCAATGTGGCAACAAACCCATTTTCCGAACTAGTTTGCTATAATCAAACACCTCTCTTTAATTTCAATTTCTCATTCATTCAAAAGCGAAATTAAATTAGTTAATATATGCCGCTCCATCTAGAGAGAAACGTATTCCGACCTAAACCCACTTCAAAATCTTCGTGGGACCCACTTTAATTTTATCCCAAAGAATGCTTCATCAAATCCTAGTTTCCAATAAATATCAATATCTTTAAAAGTACATATATATCATGAATATAATTCTATTAATTTTTTTTCAAAAAATAGTTCTATTAATTTGCATGATATATTAATGAACAAGGATCATCTCTTTTGCTATCTCCAACGGGCATGCATGATTCCCCTACCACGACAGGAAAAGGTCCTTAAGCTCTGGTTGTGGGTCAGGAGGGATTCGAGACCGCTTTGGTTTGTAGCCACGGTAAGTAAAATTACATTTTAACACTAATTAATTAATACTTAATTACATGTACGTGGATCAATAATGATTCATATATTTAATAGAGGTTGCATCCTATTTAAATAAGGTGCATTACACTGTATCAATTCCTAAATGCATGGTTTATTTGAACAAACATATCTCTCCACATAGAAAATAAAACGGTCTCAACCTGTCTCAAGTTAATCATTCAATCTTGTAGAAATAGGAGAGTCTGTGATATCTTAAAACTGACTTTCTATCATCGGGTATGTTTTCTCTTCTATTACATCTATGCATTAGACTATGAATTGTATTTATGTTGAAATTTCTTAAAGCCACGTGTTCCGGTCACCACCCGGTCTCCATGCACTAAATTTGTTCTCGGGAATACCCTCAAGAAAACGAACCTTCTTCTCTCATCATTTCAGGTTAAGAAGATATAAAAGTTATGTTTCTTTCACTAAGAACCGTGAATTTTGAGGTGTGAAGTGAGTGCAAGAAAAAGAGAGAACAGCAGGAGAATATAAATGACGTGTAGACATAATTTCTATGTAGTCCACCATTTATGTATATAGATTGCTTCCCATTCTTTGTTATTTAAGCACTAGAGCACAAACACTTGCATTGTTCACAAATCACAAGAAGCATTTAACTATTATTAGTAATTACCGAAAAAAGAAGAACAATTTCACTATTATTATTCCCGAACGAAACCATCACATTGTTTGATGTATGTTTCATCCAATAGCATTCACACATCCACTAATATCAATATAAATTCATCTAAAATATAGTACTTAAAAACACTTTATTTATTCATAAAACATGTAGTACGTGCATTCAAATTCAATGACCAAACTAAGCACACATCCATATATATATGTATATATATGGAAAGCAAGAAAAGATCATACATATCTATGTAAGCAAACCCTAGTGACCCATCCAAGATGCATGTTCTAGGGCTTCAATTATTGCTTACAGTTATTAGGAGAGTGCTGATTAGCATGAACGTCGCATAAAGATTATTATTTTTGGTACATGATAAAACGCTAAACACCATATGATCATCAAGCTTAATTTCTAGTCACAGAAGTAACAGTAGCATGCAGTGCCATGGCATCCCCCGTGCTTGGCTTTCTCCCACTTCCTGCACTGGTTATCGCAGTGGGATGACCAGATACACACCCCGTACCACGTCTTGCTTCTGCGCTTGCATACTTTTGCAGCTACTAGTTCTGTATATATGATCACATCAATAGAATTGAATTAAAAAGCAATGAAGAGGTACATATGAGAAGAACTAGAAAAGATTGAATGAATATGTGCACTACAATGTACAAGAAATGATGAGAATAAACACACACACACATATTAAGGGATTATCTCATAGATTAGTAGTGGATGCAAACAAATCACCTGAGTTTGCTAGGAGTAAGCAGATGAGAAAGATTAGGAAGAACTTGGCAAAAGAAGTATTCCTAGCCATGCTAATTAGTTTTGCTAGCTCCCACTTGTGAAGAATTGGTGAGCCATTAATGGGTTTTTATAGGCTAAGTTGCTAAGGGTTCAAGGTTATGCCAAGGAAAGGATTAGATCGGCCAAAGAATTTAATACGGATAAACAAACATGGCACATGAAGGTTGTGCATCATTTTAAATTACTATTCAGATATCTTGAGTTTCCAAGGCACATGAAGCTAACCTTGCAATACTAATAACTATGTATAACTTTCATTTTTTTTAATAATTATGTTAATTAATTAATCCTGAAGCAATAGACCCTTATCTTGATATAGTCTATCTCCTCTAGATTGGAGATTAATTTATAATTCTAGAAAATTGTAGAAACTCAAAATATTTATCAGTCAATTTTGAAGGCTTGAAAGATTCATAATGTAATAGTTGCTAAGGCTGTTGGAAGTCTCTAGTATGGCTGCAAGAAGGGAAACCTGCAGTAAATGATAGTCCTAGTATGATAGTCCTAGTAATTGGAGAATAAGACTCACTTACCACCGTCAGCCAGCTTGCTTAACGGTATCAATTCTCTACTTTTAGAAGGGAGGTTAGGGTTTGAGTTTTAGTGAAGACATATGTGTGTAAATACTAACTAAGAAAAAAATAATAAGTATGTATTTTATTTCCTTTAGGTTACATCCAACCCAACATAATTTCATATGGACATGCATTTTGATTTGGACTCAGTTAAATGGTCTCGACGGTTGAAAGGAATGGCCAAGGAAAAAAATTTACACCACCAATCAAAATATTCCATTTATCTTGATAATAAGAAATAGGATATTTTACTTGCCGGAAGATATTTTAAAGCTGTTACTCCCGGGTATCCAATAACTTCAGGTCAGAGACTCCAATAACTTCCGGTGGTGGAGAGACTTAATGGAAATTATATGCAACTGCCTAGCTATTTCAAATTTTTTAATTTTTTTGTCAAATATATTTTTTTTAATTTAAAGTGTACACAAGTGTGTAGTACTTATAATGCTACACATTAATTACTTTGTTTCCCATTTCATTTCCGATAAAAGCAATATGGACGTTAATACCCACACGAAAGTTGAGCGGCAAGGGTATATTTTTGCAGAACAATTATGAAGTGTGAGCAGAGAGTTTAATTTAAACAACAATTGCTTCATGTCACTCCACTTATGAGTATATTTTTGTGGATTACGAAAATCATTAACATATAAAAAATGAGTTGTGATGTAAAATTTGATAATCGGATTTTATATAATAACATTTTAATAAAATCATCATACTTAATAATGATGTCATGTTTCACTCATATAAAATAGCCCGATACACCTGACTTTTAAACTATTTATTATTAATCATAAAATAAAATAATATATATATATTCAACACTTTAATTCATAAAATATTTTATTATTTCTTATTATTGTTCATATTTATGCCACTAGAGTAAATTGCTAAACTCCATCGCATAGGAATAACTATTGTCAGACCATCCACTTTGAAATCGAAGCACACTCTTGGGCATTGTACAAACATACTTAATTTATTAATTAATACAGAATTTAAGAGATACAGATCCAGTGGATCATCTTTTCAATAAAAAATAATTGAATTAGTGAAGAAGAAGAAATTAGATCCCAGATTTTATGCTGCATATGATTATGATCTGATAAAAAAAAGGTCCAACCATAGGAATGGGTGACATTTCACGTGACTGCTTCCTCTACATTAGGGTTGTATTCCACCTATTAAATTTGAAGGGTCTAGTCCTTATCCTTATAGCTTTAGACTACAAACAAACATGGCCCGACCCAATCAAGAATGAAGCCCAATGTACAGCAACACAAACTTAATCTAACCCAGAGGAATGTTGTGTTCGAGATATTATCAGAATAGCACATATATAAATATAGAGTAATGCTATGCTTTGGGAAACAACAGAGCAGAAAAATATAAATATATGTTAGAATGGAGGACTTACCTGAGGCGTGTAAATACACTGCCTTTAAAAGTAGATCGATTTGATAAGATATCATATTGTGCATTAAGGTATTTTCATTTTCTTATACACTCACCATTCAAAAAAAAAATAATCAAATTGAATAATCAGTCTCTATTGGGGTTAAATATTTTATATATGTTATGTTCCATATGTAAATAAATAATTGCGTAAATTTTCTTTTAAATATCCTAAGTATTTTATTTTTTAAAAATAAAATAAGGTTGTTGGAGCAGATTCTTAGATTGCCTATTTCTCTCAGTGGCATGTTGCACAAATCTTTTATTTCTGAAATTCTTATTTCATAAGATTTTTGTGCATATATTATTTGTAATTTTCAAATGTACGGTTTGTGAAATATGAATTTTTGAAGTGCGGATGAATTAGGAGGCATTTTGGTCCAAACATCCACTTTTTTACCCCCCTCAGATAATTGGAGGGGTTATTTTGGTAAAATATTAGATAGTGGGGTTTATTGGGAAAGGCCCATACTAGGGGGTTTATTGTACTTTGCCTATTTTTTTATTATATTGGTAGTAAATAAATTACCAAATATATCCATACACTGATAGTTTACTTTTATAAGTTCAGTGCAAGAAATGTTAAATTGGTAATGTTACCAAAAAAAAATTAATAAAATAAATAAATAGATAAAAATACTTTGACTTTTTAAATGGAACATTTATTTTGGGACAACCAAAAATAGAAAGGTGAACATTTAATTTGAGACGAAAGAAGAACATTGTAAGGCCCAAAAAGGAAGTTGGACCTAGCAAAAGAAAGAAAAACCGTACAAACAACTATGGCTCAACCCAATCAAGAATCAAGCCCAATGTACAACAACACACATTTAATCTAACCTAGAGGAATGTTGCTCTATTTGAACAACCAGAGCACCACTTAAGAAGAAGCGTTTGTGATGATAAATGGGGGAGGGAGGTCCTAGTCTTACATTACACGAATGGCTATCCTCAAAGATTTCCACTTCACACTCAGTAGTTTCCCTCGAACCAATTCCATAATTTTGCTAAGTACTTGATTTGCTAAAGAATTTTTTTGATGTCTGAGATTATTTTCCCTCCAAATGTTGTAGATGCATGTTGCTCGGCATAATTTGCACAACCAAACCCTAATAATTCTTGGAATTGTCCTTCCAATGATGATCAGAGGACCATGCAATAAGCTCATTCCAATAATAAGGCTATTACGACCCAAACCCATGGGTCCGGACCGTAAACCGGGTCCTTAACCGAACCTGAGGTCACCTAAGGACACCGATGTTAATCTATAAGTCAAAACACCTTCAATGCTTAATCACAACTCATTATATGCGCTAAGGAACCACTACAAGGTCAGGAACAACTCTAAAAATGGTGGAACAAGAGCAATGAGGGGCCCTGCATTTCAGTCGGCCGAAATGGCACTTCAGTCGACCGAAGTGCTTATTCCGGTGGCCGAAATGGACAACCGATCGACCGGTTGTGGCCCAAAAATATGTGAGGCTACTGGAATTTGGGAGGAACAGTGACCGATCGACCGAAACAGTCATTTCGGTCGGCCGAAATGACCCTGCGAGCTGGGGTTCTGCTACTAGATTGCTGTGAATTTTGGAGAAGAATAATAGTCTAGGCAAAAGTTTAGAAAACTACTCTAAACTTGATCTAACATACTATAAAATGAAATGCTACATTCTATGGTTTTAAACATCATTAATTTGATACATTGCCACATCATTTTTCTCATTCAAATAAGAGATAATAACATAATCTTTACGATTTATCCAATTTACATCAAAATAATATCAAGGCTCTTAATTACATTACATGGCCAAGTTATACAATAGTTACACATCTTTAAAGTGATGCTAAATAAGGAAATGGGCTCAAAATGCAAAAGGTTATGAAATGCACTCCTAGTCCCATCACGACTGTGGTGGATCGTCATCCGCCACTTTCCTTTCCGAACCTGAAAAATGTTAAGATAATAGGGTGAGCTAAATGCTCAATAGGAAGTGTCTAAGGCACACTTCTTATGACCCCGTGAATCCATACAAGGAATAGAGTACAAGTAAATGGTATCATGCCTCAGGGAAAACAAGTAAAGCAACGATAATATCAACAAATACATACGCAAGTCATCTAACCACCAAATGTACATTGTATGCCAATGTAATGCCATGCCATGCAAGACCGCTCCCCATTTCCGAAACAATACCATTTCAGCTTCCAATCCATTAGTGCAATCTGACCCAAGGCACCTCCAAGGCATCACGAGGGAAGCGTTGGCTAGTTTTCCCCAACCACATGGTACCTCCATGGCATCGTCTGGGCTTAGGTAGCTCAACCACACTAGAGTCTCTCTCTAGCTCCCCTCTAGATCACACTAACACCACGGACCACTAGACGCCTCCTAGGCGTCCGGGTTTTCACAAACACTTTCGAAAACTTTTCCCCAAAAACAATTTCATTTGTTTTTAAAATACTTTTCCCATTTCTTTCACAATGGATGCATGAATGCTTCATGATTCCAAATGCCAAATTTAACAAATAAATTCCATGCCTTTCAAGTCAACATCCAAAATTATACATACTTTTAATTAAATTTCCATACACATACATAATCCATATTTCCATTCAACAACAATCCTAGCATAATAAGCATGTAAAACATGAATTCTATCTCATACAAGCATGCTTGATCCAAAACATATCAATTAACACACAATCACACATTCCATATACAACATCTAGGCAATTTAACAAGAATTTATACAAGTTTACATGCTAGTCCATAATTTATACAAGATTAACTCACAAAAACACAAGAATTTTTGAATTAGAAACCCCTACCTCAATGGAGATGAAAACCCCCAAAATCCCCAAATCCATGCCCTAATTTCAAAATCCCAATGCTAAGCTAAATGGTGCTCGGCTCTTATTAAATTGAAGGCCTCGACGAGCTCTACAACATTGCCAAAAGAAGTGCTATCAAATTCCC